CACGCACTCCCACCTTGCATAAATATCTAACCGCTGGCTTTTGCAAAACAAACACTGAAGGAAAAAGCTGTGGACTGCAAAATCCCTAGAAGGCAACACCATATCTCAGGTGGGACTCAATCAGTGAATGATATACCATTTTTGTTGTGGATGAACTCAGTTCATTTGAAACTATTCGAGGTGCATAACATCCTAATGCCAATTTTTTATTCAAAGCTGAAATATGTTGATCAAATTTTAATTTGTTATCCATGAAGATTCCCAGGAATTTGGATTGCTTTTTATTCTCAAGAATTTGTCCATTCAAGTATAAATTGTTAATATTACAGCTGAAAGTGAGAAGGTTTATTTTTTAATATTAATATTATTCTATTTCACCAGAGAGAGTTTCTTTCATATTAAAAGTATTTTTTCCATGCCATAGGAGCGGAATGTCATCCGCATAGATCGTAAAAATTCCTTGAATTGAGAGAAAAACAAGGTCATTTACATATATAAAGAAAATAATCGGGCTCGGGATATCCTTAGTGTGTGATCGTTTTTCGATTGATCTCACTGTTTTCTATCACTGAAGTAAGAACTGAACCAGTCATTACACACTCCTCTAAAGCCATAGCAGTCCAACTTTTGCAAAAAAGTTCATGATTTACATAATCGAAAGCTTTGGAGAAGTCGCAGAATACTGCAGCTACGACCTCACCATTGTTGAGATGTGTGTAGACATGTTCAAAAAAGAAAAAGATTGCATCATTTGTGTCTTTCACTTTCTGAAAGCCAAATTGACAGTTGGTTAATGTATTTATAAAAAAAACTAATACACTTTTTTTCACCAGTTTTTCTATGATTTAAGGTCTATGCCGCAGATAATTCTTGCTACCCTGTTCCCTGTGGTCAGTTGTAGACAAAAGGCTTACAGCAAGTTAACTTATTTTGGTGATAATTAGAGCATTATTATTCACATTATGTGCAGAAATGGGGTTGGGTCAAAACATAGCAACATACCTGGGGGGTCGATCAATAGAATATGTTTTCTTTAACACTGAATGTATCCTATCAAGTGCCACTTAGAAACATTCAATGATCACGTTACTGAACATACACAGCTAGTAAAAAATGAAGAGATTACCAACTTGCCTGCAACGATACAAATTCGACTATCATTATCAATATAGTCACTAAACGAATTTCTCTATTTTGCAAGAAAAAATATTCTAGTTTTCAATATGCTGAATTGGATATTTGATATTACTGCAGATTATGAAGTGGAATTTCCATTTTGCAATGTTTACCAGGTCCTCGTTGATGATATAAAATAGACTGCTTTGCTTTTGAAGATGTTTTTCCTCTTTTGAGGAATTGATTGTCTTTCTTTGTTGACAGAACATATACCTATCTGGTAAGGGAATTTGCAAAAGACGTTTATCTTGAAATATCTGGAATTGAGTTATCCACGAGTTCATTATATTCAATACCTTCATGAACCAAGGTTGAACTGATGGTGAACAATAAATATTTCAACAAAATCGTTTCTTCTGATGAGTTGCACCTATCATTCCATCATCTTCGCCAAACCAGAATGAAAGAGATTCATTTTGAGACATAACAAGTATGGATCTCATTTTCGCCTAGTAATCTTCTTGAGATCTTGGTACCGCAATTTCGTGCTTTCAAATACAGCATTTTGTTTTCTAGGTGTGGTTTCCGAAATCAACGATGGATAGCTTATCAACAAATAGTACCCAGTTTTCGCAAAGTCAACAAAATCATTCATTCAAATAGATAATATGGAAACTTTTGTTCGATTCATAAGCAGTTTCGGGGGTCAGTCAATCACTAATAAAAAATTAAAAGTTATTGTTTTAGAGAAATAGACTGGTATTGACCTCAAACTGTCAATGAATTTATATTTCCTAATTCAATGCTCATATAAAGTTCGTGAGAGAAATTGCATTGTGCAAAAACCAATAATGAAAGTTTCGGTAAGTTCTAACTTAAGTAAATACTGAAGGGATAGATAATTTTTTTGCTGATATTTTTTATTTTGGTGACTTTACCGAATGACATTCAAAGTTTGTCATATAATCTTCCAATTAGTAAAGGTAAATCCATTTACAGGTCGTAATCATCACCAGCTCATTTGTTCAATGGTTGAAACCATATAGATCCCTAAAACAAAGCATTCATGATCCAACACCAAACAATGTACCAAATATTGTACTTCCCCCGAAAACAGGAAAGCGGTGAACATGACAGAATGGTACTGGATAGAGCCTGTAAAGTCATCAAGAGTTCAGATCCCCTTTTCTACCTCGTCCACTACCATGAAAAAGCAAAAATTGGGCATTTCTCTTCAAGGCAGCTGCCCAAGCCGCTGAAGAACTCTGTTTAGTTTTCGACACTGAATAAGGTGCCTATTACTTTATCACCGAGTCGGAAGCTGATTAGTTCAAAATGGCCTGTCAGGGTGGTGTCTTCAACACCTTAGTCTACCGTAGTCGCGTGATAGCTATAGAGGTTCCTGACATCAGGTGCATAACGCGAATTTACGAGAGCTTTATTACCATTTACGACACTTCTACGGTATTGACGAGATGCCAGTGTTGCCCTACGTTCCGGGAGATATTGAATCCATTGTGGGAATGAGAAGTGCTGAATTTATTGGAACTCATTCTCAACCCTCAGGTTCATACAAGCTAACGAGTCTGATGTAGATCTTCTCGGCCATCAAAGCAAGACGAAATTCATTGTAGAGTTTTTCATCTTCGGGTGAGACGAATATCGTCAGGAAAGTGACTCCGCAGACTCTATCCAGATCACTCTGTTAAAATGTCTTTTCAGATTGTATGAGTCCTAGGTGAAATGATGCTTTCTCTATTCTTAGGGCACATGATTCTCGAACCCAATCATCACATACACCACGTTGTGGGAGTGGTCAATAGTTGATGATGCTGGCACACCCTCACCAATGTGTCGGGACTTCGGGAACAGGGCACCACCAACCTAATCTTCTGGGAAAATAATAATAATAAAGTGGGACACTTACAGAATAAGTGTATTACAGGGCGATTCCCTTAGTTCTCTTCTTTTCTGTATCTTACGATTGCCATTATTCGTTGCACTCAGAAATACTCTAGGGTACAAATGTGGCACCCCCGAAAAACAAGCGCATTAGGTCACCTATTTGTTTCATTTGGATGTCCGTTAATTTCATGCCTCTGGATGAAATGATCTTCATCATTCCTTGAGGATGGTGGAAGAGTAAACACGTGCTATCGGTATGGAATTTGAGATAGACAAATGTGCAGGTGTAGTAAGCTATCCTCAGAAGATGAATATATACTATTGCGGATTTTTTGGAGACCTTTAAAAAAAAGTAATATCTAGTGATTTCTTTTGTTTTCAACTTCTCACGGATAACATCGTTATATTTCGACCAATTCACGCAAACTTTTAATAAATTATACACAAAGATCTTCCTCTTGAATCACTATATCCATTGGTGTAACCCCTGCCCATTCGGTAGTTTTTCAGTTTATCGCGTTCAGACAGACAGTCGGGCAAACAGACACGACGGTACGCTTCAGTATTATAATATGTATTGATGATTATAAAGGCGATGATGATTGGTCGATAGTTTTAAGTGACAGGTAGATCAATATCTGGTGAAAAAGGAATCCAAAACAAGCACGGCCCTTAAGCAACAGAATTGCTACACTCTTCTTGACGCGCGTTTTACCAACCAGTAGATAGTTAGAATTGTTGATCACAAATAATTAACATATGCAGTGAGTGCACTAATTGTACGAATTCTGTAATTTCGCATTACAGAATTAATGCGTGACAAAAATGGGGAAATAATGATAGACTGGAAGTCATCCTAGAGTTTGGAAGCTTTATTTTTGACATTTAATATCAATACTTCCTTGTATGTTACGTTTTGAAGCGTTCCTGGGCATGAAATCTGTTTGAATTCCATTACGAATGTTTGGTGCAAAAACTGTGTACATAATTGAATATCCATAATGGAAAGTAGTTGTTACAGATGATTTTTTCTTCGGATTGTATCTGAAAGAAAGTTTTGTGTATGATCAATATATCTTGGTGAAGGCTCTTTATTTTGATATATTGAATAGCCACCCCACCTGCTGCGCACGCTAAATAGACAAATTTTCCATACCGGGTAACATTATTGCAATATTCGCAAAGATCCCTTTTTTTAAATAAAATACTGTCCATGTTACTTTCCAATATTGCAGCGTACATACAAACGAAAAATCATATCTTGTTTCTATATAATATAAGTTTACATTAGTTTTGTTTTGGGAGTTATTTAGGAAGGGTAGCATTCTGCAAAACGTTTTCCGTGAAAATAAAAGTGATATGTTTTCTTGCACATTTTCAGATTTTCTATAGGGGTTGAAATAATGAGAGCGATACGTTTTCAAATCGACACGCTGTATATTCGAAATAACGATAGTACAACGGAAACAGGCATCAATTATAGAAAACGTGTATTGCATATTGAAGTGCGGTAATCAGTCTGATAGCGATCAGAAAGTTTGGGTTGGGTCTTTCCTTAATTTATGGTTTAAATTGAACAAATTATGATTTTTATGATTTTTTAAATGAATAACTGAATAATAGTGATTATATTAGCAATAAAAATGTGTGAAAGCAGTAGATATATTGAGTGTTATGAAATCATGCATGTTGTTGGCCACTCTTTCCAAGAAACGAGCCTGGCAATAATTTTTCCAATCATTGTCTTTCCGCTGCCGTTATCGTGATTTCGATCTTATAAGGATCCTTATGCGGATTCTGTGTTGTTCCAGCAAGGTTGTCAATTTCGTCAGCAAGCGGACCGATTGTGAGTTCTTGTCTAGTCAATTCGAGGGCAGCGAGCAAGGTCTTCAGCATTCGCGAAGTGAATGGTTCTCACCGCAGCTCGGTAAAGGGAAATTATTAAAAACTCCTAGAGTGGGGTTCTGGTTTTCTATTATTCTCCCACTGATTGCTCCGACTTAGGAGAAACTTTCATGCAGCAAGCGTATCGTGCTATTCAGTTCTTCCAAGCTCGGTTGCGCGATCTTGCTGTCACATTTGAGGAGAATTCTCGTTTTCCGAAAATTATTATGCGGAAGTGCTTTTAGCTCCTGCGTGTGACATTAGTGCCTACTAGATTAGTTAAAGTGAATTTAAATTCTCGACAATGGAACAAGTGAAAACGGTGTCGGTGTTTAGCGCCGCTGTCTTGATATTTCTTTGTTTTGGTGAGTCCAGATGATTATGGTGTAATTGGTATCGAGTGCTCTAGTTGCCTCAATGTATGTGTAGATGATTTTTTGGTTGTGCACGCATACATTATGGCAAATGAGCGTAATTCGAGGGTAATAGATAGGGATGGCGTGGTTTACCAAGATATATAAAAATTGGTGGGGTTTTATTTGAATATTTGTCAAAATGATTATTCACCCATTCGTCATAATTTTGATTAATTGTATTTCAAATGGTGGGACTGAATTTTTTGTTAGATTATCTTGGAGACTGGAGAAATGTACAGTAAAATGGATTAACGGGGTCTCTCAGTCAAAAAATCAAAAATCAAATCTCTGCACTACTTTGCTAAGTTTTCGCTTTGAATGGTAAGCTTCTTCAGGGCCTATAATTTATTGAGTTGTAGATTTACTCGCCATTGAATAACATTACAAATCAAACTTATAGTAAAAATGAGTCAAAGATTATCAAATCATTGAAAAATGGCATTTATGTAAAGGTATGACATTTGTCAAACCAAAAAAAATCTATACACGTTAAACTTTCTTCATCAATTTATGTGTTCAATTCATTTTTTTCCTCATTTTTACTGTAAGTATGATTTGTAGAAGTAGAACAGAGTTTTGATTTTCGATTTTTTGACTGAGAGACCCCGTTAATCCATTTTACCATGTAAATAGCTAACTTATAATCGTGAATACTCTGGGGTATAGAAAACTATATTTGATATTTATTTTAAATCTGAATTTATTTTCAACAAAATCAATCCCATTTTTGGAATGATACAGAATGTAGGTAAATCATATGAAAGGTCTCTCATCATGTAAATTTTTGTTTCCAAAATCTACGAATACACAGGGTTAAATTATTTTGATAGATATTTTTATTGCACATATCACATACTGTTTGAGGACTAAATACATCAATGACTGGGAATGTTTTTGTTCTAATTCTCTTCATATTTTCTATCATACAGTTGAATCCCCAAATTATCTAGGCACCTCCTTTACAGTAGCATATATTTTTTTATTCCAAAAAATCATCACAAAGTAGACCGACAAATGTTAAAAACGTTTTGCCTACTTATGAATTTTATTAATATTATTTCTTGTCAATTGAGCTCTTGCATGACTTATGAGATAATATGGTTTGCATATAAAAATGAGATTGGTTAAACACCGAATTCTAGTGAATTTGGTATTTAACACATGTAATTTTCATCAATTAGCATCAGTGAGTCATATGTTACCCCAACTACAAAGATGTTTCAGAATTCCCAAAAGTTATTTCACAATTATCGATTATGAAATCATTCAGTCATGTAGAAATTTATTCGACTAATTCAAATATGTACTGGAGTTGAAAATTTTCATCATTCGCATGCCCATAAACTTATACATTCATAAGGAATACAGATATCGATTATTCTCCGCTCTGTTTATAATATTGCAAGTTTTTTTAAAGATAAATAGATATCATTGAAATTGAAGGAGACGTATTATAAAATATACGAGTGTAAAAATATAGATAACCATGAATCATATGTTCTACTAGAATACTCAACAGATAGTGAACACTGATGTTCATTACCCGTGGTAAATGGATAAAATGATTGAAAATTAGGTTACACACATGTTAAGTTTCGTTTCACGCAATTTTATCATTCAATTCCCATTACGAGGTCAAGTTTTATATACTGTTGCATTCTATTGTTACAGTATATGAATATTCATGAAATTCTCAGTAGGTTATATCTTCCTTAACACAATCCTCTCAGATTGTATTCATTGCAGATCGTGAAAAACGTTCATCCTGACAGGTTGATTGCTAGTGCTTTTCCTTTTATCCCCTCATCAACACTTTCTCGATGCAAATTTTCTACAAACGCTGGTGGCGTTCTATAGATTTTACTTTTCAGTTATTTCCACAAAAATAAATCAATAGTTAACAAATCTGGTGACCGAGGATGTCATTCAATGATGTGTCTCCTCCCAGTCTTCAGCAAGATATGGGTGTGAATCAATAGGATGGCGCTCCTCCACGTCAAGTCTTGACTGTACGTCAGTATTTTTCACGGCATGGTGTATAACTGAAATATTTCCATATATCATTGTGTCAACCTTCTCAATTGAACAGTTATTCGTTTCTCTGCATCCTTTTCAATACTTTTCTCATTTATACCCAAATCAAATTTCATTGCTTTTGTATATTTCAGTCTTCCAAATTTCACATGTCAAAGAGAATATGGCTGATGTACAGAAGCAATACCGTGTCACAATCGAACAACTTATGAAGTTGAGGCTGTGAAAATATGCGAAATCGGTTTCGTGCCATGTCTTTTGCGAAATGATTTTAAAAGCTCTTTAGTCTGACCAACATAAACTTCAGAACTTTAACTTGGTTGGTGTCACTCAAATCACGTAGTAAATACATGGGACAGTCTTACTTTCTTGTTTTTGTGGAATAGTACAAATAGATCTCCACTGAAAATCAGTTCTGAAAATATTATCGAGAAAGTGAGTCAGAAGAAACTTTGAGCTTGGTGTTAATGGATACTTTCGATCTATGGAATAGCACTCACTTCTATGTAACAAATATCTTCATGTACGATTGGACTAGGTTCAAATGGGTTTTCAGTAAAACAACTGTCGCCCTGCACCCATCTTCATGAGCGGTGGTGGAAGAGTACACGCATGCTATCGGTATGAAATTCGGGATAGAAAAATGGGCAACGATCCATCTCAGAAGAGGACGATGTGGGGATTATGGAGTGTGCAGCTCGTAGATGCAAACGTCTTGTACCATCTGGATGCCGGAGAGACGTATACTTACCTCGGGATGGAACAACACCACTCACAAAAGGTAACAGCAGTGAAGAACTCTCTCCGCGGCAAGTATCAGCACAAACTTCGACAGATCTGGTCATCGGTAGTGATGTGGACTCGAGAGGAGCTGTAACAACTCGACGTAAAGATCTGAAAAATGATGCATCTCCTAAGGAGTTTGCACACCAAATCATCCATCTCACGGTTGTATTTCTCCCGATAACAAGGAGGCCCTGGACTTTTGAGTTTGGAGTGTATACATAACAGAATACAGAATGGCACTGGATGGAGGCTGTCAAGTCATCAGGAGTTTGGATCCCCTTCTCTGCATGGTATGCGACCATGTGAGAGCAGAAATTGGAACTTTTTTAGGGCAGCTACCCGAGCGGCTGATGAACTTGGTTTAGTTTTTGACACTGAAGGAGGTAATCACAACTCTATTACCGAGGTGAAACCCGTTCAGCAAAAAGGTACACTGGAAAGTCGAAATAATAATTACCAAGGTTTTTCAACGTACGATTTCTGGCACTGATCCGAATTTAGAGAAGCATCCATTGAAAAAAACTGCTGAATGCTATTTGCCAGAAAATGCTAGTTAGGTTAATATCTCGAATTCTCATCAGTATGATAATATTTCCATTGGTTTTTTTTCATATCAATAAATAATTGCAAACAAAAACAGACCAAGTTAAATGATTAATATTAATAAAGCCAAGTGAACTAGGTAAATCTAATCTATTCGCTGGGGACTTCTCCTGTGTACATTCAAATCTATATCGAAGATTATATTACACTAAAATAAAAAAAAAAACGTTTTTTGTTATCACATCTAAATTTCTCTTATCTAAATGAAAATGATAGGACTAGACTTAGTTCACAACCTGAATTTGTCTCGTCCTTTATTTCCCATTTTCAATGAATATGTTGATACTGACAACATTCCTACTTACTAGAAAGAAATTGAATTATGTAACACCGATATATATCGCATGCAACTTCAAGCATCTTCAGTATTCAGTATCGGCCCCAAAAAACTTGAGCTTGTTACTTGAATCTATAAGTATTGTTTCTGCAAACTTTACCCTCAGTATCAAAAACTTTCAGAAAATCACACTAGGTATTCCACACAATGTATCATAGTTGATATTCCTGCTTATCAACTTGCCATATATATCCGACATTTTGGCATTAGTTCACTGTGCTATAACTAAATGACTGAAGTTAACAATCACCAAAACCCAGTCGATAAAGTAATTATGAAAATCCAGTAACAACAGAAGTTTAAATAATGTGGAAATAACTTTGTAATAAATGAAATCCGGCAAGAGCTACGTGCCTGAAATCCTAATATGTTTATAATGTATGACTACTACTGCTGATAGATTATACAGAAAGCAGAAAACAGTTCAGTAGGTCTTGAATAAATATGCGAAACGGGACAGTCGTTCAGTTCAAATGCAATTAAATTTTTTAAATAGCGGTTCTACATTTGACGATTTCTACAGCCGATTTCTTTCTTATTTAACTGAAGAATTTTCATTGAAGAAACGGAAGTCTTGCGTGACGGTAAATAATAATGTCGTTCCCTAAATACCCAGTCAGGAGTCATTTTTTGAGTGGTCGAATCATTGTTATTTTTTTTCAAATTACACATATCAATAATTATACATTCAAGACGTGATTTAAACTATCTGTTCCATACCTACACTTTCGCAACTTTTCCTTACCATATCAATCAAAGATAATGAAACCAATAGGATAAAAAATATGATCTATGCCACAAGAACTGAATGGTGATACACCACAAGGTTCAATTCTTCCACCAGTTCTGTTTCTGCTTCATCAATATAAAGATCTGACCCAGACTACAGCTTTACATATAAACAGTAGGCTTTATACCGCCAGGTATAAGGTATAGGCTTTAAGCACAAAGAAAATACAATAGAGCCTCAGGTCGACTGAAGACAAAAGAGACCCACTATTAGCAGCATGGGTTTATTGCATACCGTGCACTTGTGGGAAGGAATGCATCAGAAACACCAAAAGCTCCGTGGAAACAAGGCTAAAGGAGCATGAAAGAAACTTCAGAGTGGGCCAAACAGACAAGTCGGCTGTGGCGGAACACACACTCAATAAAGGAAACCACAGGATTATGTTTGAAAACACGAAAC